CCTGCCACAACATCAGTGTACCCCATTCTATATATATGTATAATATACTACTCAAGATTTTTTTTTTTAATGGAGGATTTTTTACGTGATTCGTCTATTGTCATTCTCCCTGCAGATAAGTGAGGGGCGATTGTGGTACAATCGTACTCTAAATATAAAGCTTAAATTCTGCGGCAATTGAATGATGAGCAGACTTATTGTAAACTTACATTTGACCCAGTGAAGAAGTTCCAAATAAGTATTTCAAATCACATCGATCTTGGACTGACAGTTGGATACCTAGACAACCAATTGGCTAAATGTTTATTCATAAACCATCCTAAACATCATATCTTATACACCTTAATAAAGATCCACAAGGATCCAAAAGACCCTCCGGGAAGACAGATAGTATCAGCCAGGGATGGACTGATAGAACCTATAATCAAATATGTTGATTTCTATATTAATGAGGTAGGGCAGAATCTACCCACTCGTCTTAGGGACCCCCAGGATTTCCTTGATCTAATTCGTTCCATGGCCTTGGAAGGCAAAGACATCTTATTGGTGACCCTTGATGTACAACGTTTGTACACTATAATTCCCCATCATGAAGGCAAATAAGCAGTACGCGAGATTCTCAGTATCACATATTTATACAAGGGTCCACTGATTGAATACTTATTGGAATTTCTATCCATTGCTCTCACCTGTAATTATTTCAAATTTGAGGACAAATTCTACTTGCAAACATCTGGAACAGCGATGGGAGCGGCTATGGCTCCCTCATACGCTAATGCCTTTATGTTTTGGTTAGAACAAAAGTATATTTTGACCAGATATCAAAAAAATATTCACAAATGCCTCTGCTTTGTCTATGATGTGTTCATGATATGGAGAGGTACCCCTGAAGATCGTATTCAGATGATAGAACAAGTGAATGGATCACCACTATCAGTCAAACTTACCCCTGTTTTGCACCATGAATCTATCCAATTTCTAGATGTTACAGTGATCAAGAAGAATAACCTTATTGCTTATTCCGCAAACTAACTGACCATAACACCTTATTACAAGCGACAAGTTTCCATCCCCAACATGTCAAAGACTCTCTTCCAATATCTCAATTCCTGAGGGTTTAATAGTGAAATCAAAAATAGAGATGAACAGTTACAGCAGATGTGGAATAGGTTCCTAGAAAAAGGATGTCACCCACAGACCCTCTCTATTGCTAAAAAAAAAAGCGATTGAACGCTTCAACTTAAAATATGTGCTGACCTCATACATAGGGTCACTTGGCAGATATGGATTGACACCTGTCCTCAGAGATCATGATACACACTGACACAGAGCAGAATAGAGACAGGCAATCCAAAATCTCATAAAGGCTTTCCCACATTATGTCAGGTTTAGTGATGTCGCAAACCCGAAATTTTCGGTTCGCAAACGGCGAACGCAAACTTCCGCAAATGTTCGCGAACTGGCGAACCGGGCGAACCGCCATAGACTTCAATGGGCAGGCGAATTTTAAAACACACAGGGACTCTTTCTGGCCCCAATAGTGATGGAAAAGTTGTTTCAAGGGGACTAACACCTGGACTGTGGCATGCCGGAGGGGGATCCATGGCAAAACTCCCATGGAAAATTACACAGTTGATGCAGAGTCTGGTCTTAATCCATAAAGGGCATAAATCACCTAACATTTCTAAATCACAATGGATATGGATTGACACCTGACATATGACATATTGACACCTTGACGTATGGATTGACACCTGTCCTCAGAGACCATGATACACACTGACACAGAGCAGAATAGGGACTGCTCCCCTACATAGGGTCACTTGGCAGATATGGATTGACACCTGTCCTCAGAGACCATGATACACACTGATACAGAGCAGAATAGAGACTGTTCCTCCTACATAGGGTCACTTGGCAGATATGGATTGACACCTGTCCTCAGAGCCCCTGATACACACTGACACAGAGCAGAATAGAGACTGTTCCTTCTACATAGGGTCACTTGGCAGATATGGATTGACACCTGTCCTCAGAGATAATGATACACACTGACACAGAGCAGAATAGAGACTGTTCCCCCTACATAGGGTCACTTGGCAGATATGGATTGACACCTGTCCT